AGATCTTTGGAGTTGCAATAAATAGGAGTATTGTACAACAGATTAAGTGAAAAAAATTAAGAAAACCTATACAACAACAACAACAAACCCAGTGTAATCCCACAAGTGGAGTCTGGGGAGGGTAATGTGTACGCAGACCTTACCCCAACCTTGTAAAGGCAGAAAGGCTGTTTCCGATAGACCCTCGGCTCAAGATTTCTAAACATTTGAATTCTAACAAATAAATCTAATTATTTTCTAAAGCATGTCTATGTTCCTAGAAAAGGAACAACAAGTAGAAGCACTAGAAGAGCTAAACATCATTGTTTCAGAAGTAAGTCATTGTAACTAAAAGATAAGCCACTCTAATCCAAATTATACAAAGTAGAGTAATAGTCTGTTTATGCAAGTTCAGCAAACAACACGGGTAAAAGAGGATGGTTGCAATAGGTTGACGACCAGCATAAAGTTATTCAATTTATAATGAATCTTCACGATACAAAATGCCCCAACTTGCTTGAGATTGAGGCATAGTTGTTTGTGTATGAAAGTTCAACTGGCTCTCACTTAAACCATTAGAATGAATCGACTATTCAGGTGAAAGGAGGACATAAATAATGGCAGGCAGAAGGCTTGCATATGAAACTGCTCATAGATATAGCAAATTCCGTGGTCTTTCTACAAGTATTGGGGTTTTAGGAGGCACAAGAATGAGAAAAAGAAAGTAATGCTACTCATACCAATTCTTGGCGAAGTCTGTTGCTGTGATCTAGAAAAGCAGCTTTCTCCTCCGTCAATCTGTAAATAACTGATTTTGCCTGAAAAGATACGTCTAGATTAATCATGTTGATGTGGAACTGTAAGGTAAGGAAGCTGGCCAAGATCTCCTTTCAAACATGCTTAAAACAAACAAATTAACTGCAACAAGCATGAAACGTTTGAAGGATCTAAGAGTAGCTGCAAACGCGTACGCAGAAAAAGCCATTAGCTAACAGTTTAGGGGATAAGAACAGATCAAACTTCTCTTTAGATTGCTACTAAATACTGATGTAATATAACTAGCGAGCATCTTATGTGAATTAGGATGACAAGACAACTGTGCTCGCACTAAGAGAATAAGGAGAGAAATGGAGAACTAATCACGAAGAGAATGATGTTCCGTTAATTTGATCAACTAGATATCAAGATAAAGCCTGCAGCAAAACTCAACACTAGAAGAAAGAAACTTGATATATTTCATAATAAATTAAAGATTCTAATATAGGGTGAAATTCCAGGATAACATACTTTTTACGTAGTTAAAGGGTAATATCTGATCAGAAAACCAAATATTTCTAGCGTCTGTCTATGCCAAATGATAAATAATCACTCAGAGAAAGATCGTCAAAACAAACTTGAATAAAAAATACCAAACCGGCAGTTTGTAGCTCAATGTCATCCAAATTGAGATTAGAAGTTTAGCTCCAACAGTATTCTCAGGAGAACTTTTCTGGGACGCTACTGGTCCCAATAATAAAGATTGTAAGTTTGTTGGTAACATGTCATACATACTACAATGAACTCGAGTTATTTTCAGTATATGTCACTGCATCCTAACGTATTTACACCACTCTCTAGATAACATATGTTATGATATCATTAGGTCATTCAAAAACATCTCAAAGACACAAGAAACCGTGGTAGATTATGTCATCTTTAGACACCTCCAACGACATGAATGCGCTTGCTAAGGGAATGATGATTCACAAATAGTCAAATAGTACAAATCAGTGACAATGAATACGTCTCATAAGCACTAGATATCGGCAAATAATAACATGCATAAATACACACAGGTATAGAATACATAGAAAATTTGACATTCCACAAAACAATGGGACACAAATATATTATTGGCTATCGTTAGGACACAAGTAAACAAAGACACACACATATGTTATTGACTTTAATAGGATGTGAATGTATGGTACAATATGGAATTATAATAGAAATTTCACCTCTGAAGATTTGTCATGAGTTTCAAGGAATGTTCTTGTGAGCTCAGAACCATTTTGACTATACACGTTTCCAAATTTAAGTAGGTTAAACAATGTTTAAGCAATTAGTTAAACTGAATTATTCAATTTTTGTTAAGTTACATCATCCTCACTGCTCCTCTTGGATTCATTTTCAGCGAGAGAGACATATAAGCCAATAGTTCACTATCCTCAGTATACTGATGGTTAAACCAGTACACAAATCAGCATAACAAATAAGTGCACATAGGCTAAAACAGATAGATCAAGTACTAGCTCTGCTAATAAATATATACTCAATCAAATTACCAATTAAGCTTCCAAAAGTGATCAAGCTAATGCTGCTGCAATTGAAATGGTTGAAAAACCATCAGTTGTTAAACCTACTACTGCACTTGAAGTTAAAAAACAACAGGTTTGAAACCTAGTGCTGTGCATATTCAGGGGCAAGGTGTTGAAGGTGTGAAAGATTTGGATAGTGCAAGTGATGCAATTGTTAAGGCAAAGGAAATAGCTGGGCAGTCATAACATATTACAGATGATCAAGCACAAGATAGAGTACAAGTAGGAACTGGTGCAGTTCCAGCACAATCTGCTGCACAATCTACTAAACCTAATGACAACCCTATAGTTATACAACAACTAAAAATTATCAACTTCGATTTTAGGAGGACCGATATTTCGACGGTTATACTTGGAACTCAGCGAAACTGATAGTACGAAATTGACATTCAGAATAAACTGTTAGAGAAGATGATTTCATCGTGATTGGAGATATAGCAGTTGCTCATTCAAAACAGATATTGCTCAATAGATGCCTTTTCTAGCAAAATTATTACTCAATTCACATAGAAAAGGGTAAAATTTTATCCTTACCGTGATGAGAAGAACCTAAAAGATTAGCAGTTGTTATCAATGGAGGTGACAAGTAGCTTCAATTTGTTCGCTAATTCGCTCTGCTAATTCCGTTCAAATCGAGGTTTACTAACTGTTAGAGAAGTCTGGGTCTTATTAGGTTTATACGATTGAACGGTTTAATTCGAAGTTTGGGGATTTTTCCTTTTTTTGGGGGTGGGGGTGGCGATGGGGTTGGTAGATTTGGCAGAATCTGGGTTGAGAAAAAAAGTGGAAAAAGTTAGCGCCACTTTTTTCACTTTTTCATTAATTAATAATTATTTAACAACCGGTTGTGTTATATTTTAACGGCCGAATATTATCCCTCGTTAATATTGAGCAAAAAAATAGTTTTAACGACCGGAAAAAAATTTGGTTGCTATAAATATTGTTATAACGACCGGTTTTATGTCCCTTCGTTAAGAAATGGTCGTTAAAAATTAAATTTCTTGTAGTGAAAAGATAATGTCTCAGCTTCTGAGTGACCCAAGTCAAGGACAACATGTTCTTTCTAAAAGGGTGTACTTAACCTCATAATTGGTGAACTTCTTGCTCAAATAATAGATTGCCTGTTCCTTTTTGCCTGTTGCATCATGTTGCCCCAGAACGCATCCAAAGGAATTATCCATCACCGATAGATATAAAAACAAAGGCCTACTAGGTTCAGGCGGGACCGGTACAGGGGGTTTTGACAGATAATCTTTGATCCTGTCAAAAGCTTTTTGGCAATCGTCTGTCCACCTGATAGTGGCATCCTTTTTCAGCAACTTAAAGATGGGCTCGCACTTGGTTGTGAGCTGAGCAATGAACCTGCTGATGTAGTTCAATCTTCCGAGCAAACTCATGACTTCCTTTTTGTTCTTCGGGGGTGGCAGATCTCGAATGGACTTTATCTTAGATGGATCCAATTCGATGCCTCTCCGGCTGACTATAAAACCGAGGAGTTTCCCAGACGGAACCCCAAATGCACACTTGGCTGGATTAAGCTTAAGGTCATACCTTCGAAGCCGTTCGAAGAACTTTTTCAAATCACACACGTGATCAGCTTGTGTCTTTGATTTTATGATAACATCATTGACATATACTTCAATATCTTTGTGCATCATGTCGTGAAAAATAGTAGTCATGGCCCTCATGTAGGTTGCCCCTGCATTTTTTAAACCGAATGGCATGACCCTGTAATAATAAGTACCCCATGGCGTGGTGAACGCCGTCTTTTCTGCATCATCCTCATCCATCAGAATTTGGTGGTACCCAGCATAGCAATCCACGAACGATTGTATCTCATGTTTTGCGCAATTATCTACAAGAATGTGGATATTTGGCAAAGGAAAATTATCCTTTGGACTTGCTTTGTTCAGGTCCCTATAGTCGACACAAACTCTGGTTTTTCCATCCTTCTTTGACACAGGCACAACATTTTCCACCCAGGTAGTGTATCGGACAGCTCTGACCACATTGGCGCTTAGTTGCTTCATTATTTCCTCTTTGATTTTGTCACTCACGTATGTTTTAAATTTTCTTTGCTTTTGTTGGACTGGTGGAAAACCAGGATACGTAGGAAGCTTATGAACCACCAGATCAGCACTTAAACCCGGCATATCATCGTAAGACCAAGCAAACACATCTCTGTATTCAAATAAAAGTTGAATCAAGGCATCTCTGGTTTTTTGTTCAATGTGAATGCTTATCTTCGTTTCTCTAACTTCTTCAGGACTTCCGATATTAATCGGCTCAGTTTCATTGAGGTTTGGCTTAGGCTTGTTTTCAAATTGTTCCAACTCTCTCTTTATTTCCTCAACAACCTCATCTTCATCATATTCAACCTCTTGATGCATTATTTCGATATTAGACAGCTTTTTAAGATCTGGGCGTGAATTCCGCATGCATGTCATATTATTAAAGCCGGCATTAACAAAACTGAAATGGAAATAAAATGACAGGAATTAGGAAAAGGAAAATATAGAAAACTTAATAGGAAACTGAACTGCATTTCATTGAATTTGAAAGGATAGAAGGGTTAACATCAAAACAAAATAATCATACTGAGATGTTTGGATTACAACCCTGAAAGTAACCCAAAATACACACAAAAAAAGCTGCAAAAGCAAACTACCAAGACTCCTTCCTTGTGGGGAGAGGAATTGCTTCCCAATTGGTGAGCATGGTGTCTGGGTCAATTAGTTGCATATCGGCATGACTAGTGCCTTCACCAGCCTGGATCATATTCACTTCAGAAAACATCTCGCTGAGGCCATGGCAAATTTCATCAATGTTTGCATGCGCCGAGGAATTTTGACCCTCTCGGAGTCGTGGCTTGACAAAAGTGTAGAAAATATGAGGGATAGGCTGTTGCAAGACCCATCCATGCTTTTTGCGGTGTTTGGCTTTGTTTTCGTCTGCTTGTGTTGGCCTGAAGCCTAATCCAAAAGTACCCTGGTTACCGAACGGAGAAATAGGCTCCGAAATTCCTTGCAATGATGCCCCCAAGCCTTTTCCTGGCTCATAACCTTGTCTCATCATAACTGCAGCCACCATTACAGATGTGGCGGAAAGACGAGGATGCAGAATAGGCTTTCCTTCCTCGACATGGTCCACAGCAACCACTTCAAACGCCTGATAGACAATGGACTCAGACCCTTCCTTGGCCTCAATACAGGGGATTAACGGGTCTTTATAAATGGAAGACTCGTCTTCTCCGTGAACAATAATTTCTTGCCTGTCATGTTCGAATTTGAGCATCTGATGCAAGGTGGATGGCACAGCTCGGGCCGTATGGATCCATGGCCTTCCAAGAAGAAAGTTATAAGAAGTGGCCATGTCCACTACCTGGAAGACAATCTCAAAGTCAACTGGCCCAATCGTCATGGTGAGGTTGATCTCCCCAATGGTATCTCTTGCTGAGCCATCAAAGGCCCAGATGCGAACATTGTTGGGTCGGATTCTGTCTGTATCGATCGTCATGCTTTGCAAGGTAGAGAGAGGGCATACATCTACACTTGAGCCTCCATCAACCATGACTCGCTTTACATAATGACCCTCACATTTGACCATCAAGTTCAAAGCCCTATTGTGCCCGGCTCCCTCCTCGAGAAGTTCATCATCAGTAAAGGAGATTCTGTTCACCTCAAAAAATCTGTTGGCCATCTTCTCTAACTGATTCACTGTGGTTTCCTCTGAGATATGTGCCTCGTTCAGGACCTTAATTAGTACACGGGCATGCTCTTTGGAATGTAGGAAAAGAGATAGTAGAGAGATTTGAGCGGGAGTCTTTCTTAGTTGATCAATGATTGAGTAATCCTGAACTTTTATCTTTTTCAAAAACTCTTCCGCATCTGCTTCAGTGACTGGCTTCTTTATTGGCAAATGGCCTTCTCTAATTTGCTTGGCTTTCCTCAACTCTTCTGGAGAGTAACATCTCCCTGATCGAGTAAAACCTCCAGTTTCCCCCACTTCCTCTATGATTTCCTTGCCTTTGTAGGTCATCACCGTTTTGTTGTAGTTCCAAGGAGTGGTTTTTGTGTTGGTTACAGGGAGTTGCATGGCAGGTTTGATTACGATCGGCTCTGTTATACCTTTTGTACCTCCTTGCTTCTCCCTTTTGACGGGATGGCCTCCAAGTACATATAACCTTGGGCTTGGAACACTAGAGTGAACTTCCAACCTCGAGATCTTTGGAACAAATAAAGTTGCCTTATTTGAGTTCTGGGCGCCTTTAACAATCAATGGCACGTCTCGGCTGGGACTTACTTCCAGACCTGCTCCTTCTTGAATTGCACCCACTGTCATTTCTGCTCGACCGACCGGCTTGTATTCTTGGTCTCGGCCAATCATTCCAACAAAATGAACATCATTGTGTGCTGGCAACGGATTATTTGTCACGTTAGGAGGGTCCTCGCCATTCGTCACTACAATTAGTTTTTCGGAAATGAGTCTCTCTATGGCTCTTTTCAGAGTCCAACAGTCATCAGTGCTATGCCCTGGGGCACCAGAATGATATTTACATCTAGCATTTGCTTGAAATCCATGCAAATCGGGATGCATATGGTGGGGAGCGATGGGTCCAATTACGCCCATTTGCTTCAGCTTCTAGAATAGACTAGAATATGATTCAGCCAATGGAGTGAATTTTTCTACCGGCCTCTGCTCTCGACCATAATCCTGCCTGGGACGAGCATTGTAAGGTGCCCGAAAATTTTGCTGCTGAGGTCGGGGGGGCCTTGGAGCTGGTGCCCGTACCTGCTGATTGGGAGGCCGAGCATATGATTGAGCATTGAACGCTCTATATTATGGTAGGCCCACAGAGTATTGAGGAATTGACGGGGGATAATAATGTTGAGGGTAGCTGGATTGCCCCTGCTGATCTTGTACATAAGGGTGCGATGCCCCTCTTTGAAACTCCCTAGATCCCGAAGCCATCATGGACCCTTCATCTCTCTTCTTTCTGTTTGCCAAACCTCCCGACCCATTTTGGATAGCTTGGGTGGTGGCTTTGAGAGCAGCTTGACTTACAATTCTGCCAGTCTTGAGGCCATTTTCGACCATCTCCCCTATTTTGATTGCTTCTGCAAAAGGTCTACCCGTCGCGGACATCATGTTCTGAAAGTAATCAGGCTCTTGAGCCTCCAGAAAAACAGTGATCAACTCGTGGTTATCCATGGGTGGCTTAACTCTAGCCGCTTGCTCCCTCCACTTGATGGCATACTCCCTAAAACTTTCGGTCGGCTTTTTCTTCATATTGGACAAAGAATTACGATCTGGCGCAATGTCAATGTTGTACTGAAATTGTTTGACGAAGGCCTGGGCCATGTCATCCCAAACATGCCAGTGAGAGATATCTTGGTCAATGAACCATTCGGAAGCTACCCCCACCAGGCTTTCCCCAAAGTAAGCCATCAGTAGCTCTTCTTTTCCTCCTGCACCCCTCAGTTGGTTGCAGTACCTTTTCAAGTGGGCGATGGGGTCGCCGTGTCCATCATATTTCTCAAATTTCGGGGTCTTAAACCCTCGTGGCAAATGGATGTGGGGAAACATGCATAGATCACTGAATGAAACGCTTTTGTGACCACCTAGTCCCTGTATATTCTTTATATTTTGTTCAAGACTTTTCATTTTCCCAACCATCTCATCTGGCTCAACATTCGTGGCTGGCTTCTCATTTTCCACTGGTGACTCGTACTGAGGAGTCTGATTGTATGGAGCCGAGACCCCGAAAGCCATATTTGGAGAATAGTATTGGCCATCATAAGCATGAGATGGTGGCTCATTGTTTGGCCTCGTCACAGGTGGTGGCGGCGGGATTGTATATACCGGTGCACCTAAGGCTGTATGGTGGGCCGGGCCCGGGCCTAAATGGGCTAAACGGGCCGGGCTAAACGGGCCTGGGCTTAGCGGTCCCGGGCTCTGGCGGTCCCGGGCTTCGTGGGCTCAATGGGTAGGACCAGCCCGTGACGGGCCTAAGCCCATATGGTCCTGGGCTAAATGGGCCGGGCTCGTGGGCTTAGCGAGCCTAACGGGCTTTTTTTTTAATTTTTTTTATTTAAGGCAATTTCTTGTAAACCATATGTGTATGTATATATATAAATTGCTCTTATTCATGGCTATATAAATATATGTAGTATATATAATATAGAAATCTAATTATTAAAATGTTTGACGAAAATGTAAAATAACAAATTCCAATAGTAAAACTACATTGGCATGCATAATAAATTAATAACAAAGTACAACATGAAGCATAAATACGTCTAATAATTTTAAATAACACAAATTGTTGAAAAATCTTAAAGACGAATTTGCGGATAAATACCCTCAACACAATACTTTATATGCCTCCTTAAAATGCCTGTGGTACACCCTGAACGAAAATTTAAGACTCTTCCACAGTTTTTGCACTTTAATATTTGGCCTTCTTCAGTTTCTTCAAGCACTTCATAGTATTGCGAAACAAATAAGCGCACTCTTTCCGAACGAGGCATGATTTAACTTGAAAATTGAGATTGAGACGTGAAGTCTTGAAAATTGGAGATTGAGAGATTGAGAGAAATTTAGATTGAGAAATGAGTATTGAGTATTGAAATGAAGAAGAGGGAGGGGGGGTACTTATAGTGTTAGAGAAGGTTAGTTTTGTAAATTGAAAAAAAAACGGCTATTTGTGCAATTAATATGACCGTTGGTGGTCATTGGGGGTGGGGCCCTCATTTTGAAAAATCTTGTTTTGTAGTATATATAGCACTACTTCTTCATGTAAATATAATATATATAGTATACTAGTATAGTATACTATATATTGTATGTTATGTATATATATTCCCTTATATATTTTCTTGTAGTATATATTGTATGTTATGTATATATATTCCATTATATAATTTGTTGTAGTATATATTGTATGTTATGTATATATATTAGCTTATAAATAATTGCAAGTTAAAGACAAAAAAATATTGCAAAGAGATATTCAAGGGCATGTCTTATAATTTTTATTACCAAAAATGGCATATCTTTCTTAGTCTTCTTCCCCCCAATGGAATGAGCACAACAAGGTACTAATACCACCATTAAAAGGAAAAAAAAACTAAAGAAGATATGCCAAAGTACAAGTTACACCATAACCTACATTGTATCTCTAACAAATCTCATAAATCCTTCAAGGTTCGGAGGAGGTTCCGTTGGTGGTGGCGGAAAAGAAGCTTGTTCATCACCGCTTCCGGGCGAAGCAGCATCCTCCGCAAGTTCCGCTATCATTTCTTCATAAGCTTCGTCTATCTCCGGTTGTGATTCTGCAAGTTCAAAGTTTCTTCTTTCCGAGCGGATCCAATCTCTGAATAGTACTAAACTTTCGTACATATAATTCCATCTAGTTGGACAAGGTTTAGGAACCTTTCTTTCTCTAAGGCCAAATTCATCACATTTTTTAAAATACTCTCTAAGTCTACTTCTACGGTTTGAATAAAAAAGCCAATTAAGAGCCATTCTAACCTTTTCAATTTCTAAATTTAAAATTCTCATACCATCACCGACGATTAAATGGTAAATGTGACAAATACATCTCACATGGAAACAATTACTAAATGCAGGATTTAGTGTTGTTGTAAGTATGCCTATAGCACTAGTGTTACTAGAAGCATTATCCATAGAAATTGCCATTATTTTATCTCTAATGCAAAAATATCTACAAATATCTGCAACAGTGTTAGCAATAAACTTACCTGTGTGACGTGAATTAATTATTCTATACGCAATAATGTATTTTTGCATTATCCACTCCTCGTCTATCCAATGACTTGTAACAGTTAGATAATCACAGTCATTATTACTTCTACCAATATCAGTAGTAATAGAAATCCGATTAGTTATATGAGTAAATAAATACCGCAAATATTGTTCATATTCATCTTTATATTTATAAATATCGCTCTTAACTGTTGCGCGAGGCCAACCTTTATAAGTAGGATTAAAAACTTTTCTAATATAATGCACAAAATTAGGGTTAGAAGGAAAAGTATATGGTAAGCACATAACGGTAACCATCTTTGCTAATTCTTCACGATCTTTATTAGGATCGTAATATAAAATACCACCGGTCACAGTGTTAATTCCTGGTTGAACTAGATTTGAACCTGTACTAGGGTTAACCGCAGTATCTACACTTGTCCCCTCTTGCTGCGCTTTCATTTGTAAATATTTAACTTTATCTCTAGGGTGTGTTTGTATGTGCCTAGCCAAACTATCCGTACCGCTACGGTCTCCAGTATATTTATGCGCCAGCAATTTCCCACAAGTTTTACACCTAGCCTTATTTTGTTCTCTTACTTGAGTAAAAAAATTCCAAACTAATGATGTTTCTAGGCGTTTAGAAGGTTGTCTATTAAAAGTAGGGGTTTCTACAGGTGGGTCGGGCGGGGCATCAGTTGGGTTATTAACAGGACTAGTAGGTGAATCATCTAAATCCGGTTGGGTTTCATCTACATCCTCATTTTCCTCATCATTTTCTAAGATAGTTTGATTAGGATAAAGAGCATTCATAACTTCTTCATTTAATTGTTCACCTTGTGCAACATTATGGCAAAATTCACTATCGAAAAATTGAAAACAAGGGTTAATCACTATCAAGAATAATAGGAGCAGCAGGACGGGTAATAGGGTCTGGGTCGGGGGAGCCGGGGGGGTAAGGGTAGGTAGGTTGGAGGACTACGTTCTACCANAAGGAGTGGTTTTTGTGTTGGTTACAGGGAGTTGCATGGCAGGTTTGATTACGATCGGCTCTGTTATACCTTTCGTACCTCCCTGCTTCTCCCTTTTGTCGGGATGGCCTCCAAGTACATATAACCTTGGGCTTGGAACACTAGAGTGAACTTCCAACCTCGAGATCTTTGGAACAAATAAAGTTGCCTTATTTGAGTTCTGGGCGCCTTTAACAATCAATGGCACGTCTCGGCTGGGACTTACTTCCATACCTGCTCCTTCTTGAATTGCACCCACTGTCATTTCTGCTCGACCGACCGGCTTGTATTCTTGGTCTCGGCCAATCATTCCAACAAAATGAACATCATTGTGTGCTGGCAACGGATTATTTGTCACGTTAGGAGGGGAGGGTCCTCGCCATTCGTCACTACAATCAGTTTTTCGGAAATGAGTCTCTCTATGGCTCTTTTCAGAGTCCAACAGTCATCGGTGCTATGCCCTGGGGCAGCGGAATGATATTCACATCTAGCATTTGCTTGAAATCCATGCGAATCGGGATGCATATGGTGGGGAGCGATGGGTCCAATTACGCCCATTTGCTTCAGTTTCTGGAATAGACTAGAATATGATTCAGCCAATGGAGTGAATTTTTCTACCGGCCTCTGCTCTCGACCATAATCCTGCCTGGGACGAGCATTGTAAGGTGCCCGAAAATTTTGCTGCTGAGGTCGGGGGGCCCTCGGAGCTGGTGCCCGTACCTGCTGATTGGGAGGCCGAGCATATGATTGAGCATTGAACACTGTATATTGTGGTGGGCCCACAGAGTATTGAGGAATCGGCGGGGGATAATAATGTTGAGGGTAGCTGGATTGCCCCTGCTGAACTTGCACATAAGGGTGCGATGCCCCTCTTTGAAACTCCCTAGATCCCGAAGCCATCATGGACCCTTCATCTCTCTTCTTTCTGTTTGCCAAACCTCCCGACCCATTTTGGATAGCTTGGGTGGTGGCTTTGAGAGCAGCTTGACTTACAATTCTGCCAGTCTTGAGGCCATTTTCGACCATCTCCCCTATTTTGATTGCTTCTGCAAAAGGTCTACCCATCGCGGACATCATGTTCTGAAAGTAATCAGGCTCTTGAGCCTCCAGAAAAACAGTGATCAACTCGTGGTTATCCATGGGTGGCTTAACTCTAGCCGCTTGCTCCCTCCACTTGATGGCATACTCCCTAAAACTTTCGGTCGGCTTTTTCTTCATATTGGACAAAGAATTACGATCCGGCGCAATGTCAATGTTGTACTGAAATTGTTTGACGAAGGCCTGGGCCATGTCATCCCAAACATGCCAGTGAGAGATATCTTGGTCAATGAACCATTCGGAAGCTACCCCCACCAGGCTTTCCCCAAAGTAAGCCATCAGTAGCTCTTCCTTTCCTCCTGCACCCCTCAGCTGGTTGCAGTACCTTTTCAAGTGGGCGATGGGGTCGCCGTGTCCATCATATTTCTCAAATTTCGGGGTCTTGAACCCTCGTGGCAAATGGATGTGGGGGAACATGCATAGGTCACTGAATGAAACGCTTTTGTGACCACCTAGTCCCTGTATATTCTTTATATTTTGTTCAAGACTTTTCATTTTCCTAGCCATCTCATCTGGCTCAACCCTCGTGGCTGGCTTCTCATTTTCCACTGGTGACTCGTACTGAGGAGTCTGATTGTATGGAGCCGAGACCCCGAAAGCCATATTTGGAGAATAGTATTGGCCATCATAAGCATGAGATGGTGGATCATTGTTTGGCCTCGTCACAGGTGGTGGCGGCGGGATTGTATATACCGGTGCGCCAGAGACGACGAGAGGGGTGTTCCTAACCCGTGCGACTGGAGGTCGCATATTAGAGGTACCGGGGGCAGCATGGAGGCTGTAGTTTGGCACATACCCTGGTGGTAGAATTGGATCGCTTGTTGCATGGAGCGGTGTTTGAGTAGCCTGGGGTACGGTGGAAGTTCCCTCTGAAGGACCCTGGGGTGGAGGTCGACCGGAAACCCAAGCTTGATATACATCTGACAATTGTTGTTTCAATTTTCTTATTTCCTCCGACTCTTGCTCAACTGACTAACCCTGCGGATTGTTACTGACCAACTCGATTTCATCACTATTATCCATTACCACTGCTCCCTTAGATCTTGTGAAGTAATGATGTGTTGCCAGTTTTCACCACAAACCAACCACCTTAAGCTTACTGGTTAAGAGGCAACAAATGTGTTAGGGTTAAGCATTTTGCAGATAAGAATCACACGTAGATATGCTATGCTCCTAAAATATCATCATCTCTAATATGCTTTTGGAAGGCTTCATGTTTCATTCCGGCTTATCAGTTGTTATTTATTGACAATGTTATTTCCTCCTTTCACTCGCCTTATTTTGATCCCTTACTTTAGTGTCATTTGAAAAATATTTGATCGAACCTTTTGTGGGTTGCCTACGTATCATGTCGCCGCATGAATCAGATCATTACGTAGTTCAGGTACATTAACCCTTTTTTTTTTTACAAAACAAACATCTTTTTTGGTTCATTTCCGAATTTTTCTTAAACAAAAATCTTTTTCGTTGATTTTCAATATATAATAATAATAAACGTGTGTTTTTATTTTTTATACAAGACTCGAAAAGCAAGAATTACATAAAGATAAACAAGACCAGACCTGACTCAAACAGACTTCTTAGGATAAAAGGCGAAATAACAAGACTCAAAACACCAAAAGACTCTTATTGACTCAAAAACAACAAAAGGATAATGAAAAAAGACTGATAACTAAAAGAAGACTTTGATCTTTGCAATAGAATCCACCAGCATCACTGTAATCAAGGCGCTTGTTCCTGCGGCTGACCCCCAACATTGCGGTATATCCTCTCCAAGTCTGCAGATATATGACGAGCAACGTTCAAAGATACTTCTGCAAACCGCTCGGGCGTCATTCCCTGACAACTCATGCAAGCTCTTGAGGTATACGTGGCTACCTCGAGGATCTTTCCCTTAATGTATTCCTGAGCCACATGCAGCTCTTGATTTTGCTGACCACGGGTCTCAGCTAGATCCAGCGCATCACGCTCGCGGTCCAAGGCCATATCTTTCTGGCGCCGATTTTCTAGTAACTCCCCCTCCAACCGGTTGATCATACTCTGGTAGTGATGTCTTTCTATTTCAAACTCCGCGATCTGGCTCTCCTTGCTTGACTCAACTCCCCCTATCTGATCCCTCAGACCTTGGATTAACTGAGCAAAACCTCTACGCTCGTGATCACGGACTACCCTGAACTGGGCTTCTCTCTCTTCTTGTTGCTGAGCGGTTGCGACTATGTTCTTCTTTTGAATTTGGGCTTGGAGTGCTTGCTTCTCTCGTGCCCACTGAGCCTTTTCCCGCTCAAAATCAGCCTGTTGTATGTCCATGGCTGTCTCCAGAATTCCCTTATCTTCTTGTAAAGTGTCAATACGAGACTGGAACTCTTGTGCCACTTCCCTTTTGGTATCTCTAACTCTGGCCTCTATCTCTTCCTCCCAATCAACTGCATGCCGTATGGATCTTTCTGGCCTTTGCTCGGGGATAGCCTGGTTGTGAAACCACTCAAGGTATGCGAGGCTTACCTCCCCACGTTCACGATCAGCTACCATCTCGTCTATATCAGAAAATCGACCACCAAACCAAACCTTTTGTGCATAAGACTCCCTTGGAGGTTCCTCTCCCTTGAATTCCCACACGAACGGACGCATGTCTTCAATCGGGGGCCTCTTTTGCTCTCTCCCTAGCTGGCGCATGACGCGAATGGGCGCGTAGGGTTGGAAACCTCTGAAACCCATGAGTATGAAGAATGGGCGATATGTCGACATATGCATGACCCTAGCAGAAGGGAACCAATAATAGTTCCAAGTGATTCTATCCGCATTCAATGAACCAAGTAATTTCCGCCAGGCTCTCATCCTATCTGGAAGATTACAACTTGCAGCCCTGCCTGGGTGACATCCAATGTAATTCAGCCAGTTTTCATTGAAATTTATTACCATTGGATGATGATAAAGGTGCTCTATGAACCACATCTGCAGCAGAATGTTGCATCCCTCGAAGTAATCTTCACCCTCTTGGCATCGGGTCAAAGCTCGAAAAATATCTCCCAAAATCATGGGAAGAATGGTATGATCCTCGCTACTTTGCAAATACGAGACTACCGCAACCAATCGAATTCTGATGCGCCCACCACGCTCTGGAAAGACCATGATCCCTAGAAATGATATCATGAACGCGAAGATTCTCAACTCCCTCCAAGCGTCGTAACTCAACTGGTTGACGAATTCTATGCCCGAGAAATTTTCAAACCCTTTCTCGTCCCCAAACCTGTCATAGAGATATTCCAACTGAACCCAACCTTCGTTGAAGCAAACCATTGGAATTCGACGGAGGCATAATTTCTTTAAAAAGTTGTTCACACCAACTTTTCTCGGAGCAGCAGGCTTTTTCCCACGAAGGTCTCTCCCCAATCCGGTGAACCCACCTAATTCTTCTAATGTGGGCGTCATTTCACAATCTTTGAACCTAAAGACATTGTTCGCGGGGTCCCAAAAACCCACTAGAGACTCGATTAAATCTCTGTTAGGCTTAATTCCCATGATGTTTGTGAGGAACTTGAGGTGCTTAAATACTCGATTCCGTTCCCATGTAGCAAAACTAGCCCACCAATTACAGAGACTGCTCGGGGTCTTATCTCTAATTAAGAACATTGGAGGTGTCTCGTCCCTTACCCTTTTCTGACTGCTTCTTAGTGGAGAACTCATGGTGATCCTGGATAAGATAAAAAGGGTTAGGACTTACCTAAACTACATGCAAATTATGATAATTCATTATTATTATTTTTATTATTTTTATTATTGCCACTTTAGGACTCGATCTATAACTTTTTTATTATTTTTTTTTATTTTTATTTTATTTTATTTTATTTTATTTTTTTATTTTATTATTATTATTTTTTTTTAAATTACAAAATATTTTTTGAAGTTACCGGACACAAAAGTTGAGATGATAATAACGAAAAAACGGCTATCATTACAAAGACGGCCCTTTGATACTTCCATAGAAGGCATAAAGGATGTCTCAGCAAAAACAGCCAAACACAGGAACAAAATGATAAAAGTAGAAAAAATAATAAATAAAATTTTTTTTTTTACAAAAATGACTCTCTGTTACTTCTAGAGGGGTTCCAAAGCTATTTCAGAAAAAGAAACAAGACAAAACTAGATAAAAAATGGTTACTTTTGCAA